TCTGCTACAGCCCACATACCGGCTTAAATTCCATTAAATCACAAATTAGGGAGGAATTGACAACAGAACCGCCCACTCGACTGGAGCCCTCAGTTTCCTGGAGACTCCTCGCTGAAAGCAGCACCCGTGAGTTCAGCTGGAAGGAGGATCCCTACAAAACCAGGTCAGCCTGCCCTGCCAGGCACCACGGCCCAAGGACGGGGAGAAACGGAACAGAATGAAGCTTTTCCAAGCAGCAAAACTTCAGTCCGTGAGGAATTTGAGCCTCCTCAATCAACTCGGCTGCATGGCAGAACTCCCAACGCCCCTACGGATTGCTCCATCTTAAGGACGCGGCACGGATGTGGCGAGTTCTGAAGAAAAATGTGCTCGAAACACTCGGAACGTAGGCAGATGCTGTAGCTGACAGAAAGTTACGCTGAAGAGGGTAATTTCAACTCACATCGAGTTCTTTCTTACCCTGCTGGCACGAATACACACACTGAAGCGACTGAACACCAGAGGAATTCGTATCATGGCAGAGAGGGACCTTGGTAAATAAGTTTTAAGCCCGGCAGCAACGTTAATTTATTTGTTTTAATAAGTCCCATATGTTGTGTACTGGTTGGAAACCTTAAAAACCCACGAAGCTGCAAAACCCACAGGGACTGAACAAACATGATCTACTGAAATTCAACACACATTTTTTTCCATCAGTAGTATTTTCTGAGGCACCTGTATTACTGATGCAGGGCAAAATGGTTATTTAGTCTCTGCAGTCCGTTCAACCACCGGACGCAAATGATAACGAGATAGATTTATTTCTATTATTAAATCTATCAATGTTATTAAGGTGATCAATAACCTGCTTCTCAGTTAGGATCAGAAAAGGAAAGCTTGTTTAGAAAGACTTAACTGTTCTTCAGTCCAGGGTAAATGGTGAAAAAGCAATTTTTGGATTCACTTTCAATGTACACGCAAAAATACCTTCTGGTTTGGCCTTAAACACAATTTCATTTTCCCAGTGCTCCTAAACATTTACGCCGCATCAGCTGTCAGAGCCTTGTTCAGGACAACTACCAAAAGTGACTCTTGCTAAGCCTCACGGAAATCTACATCTTCAGACGCAGCAAGAACTTCACAAAAGAATTTTACAAAATATTTGGCATCAATCATTTCTCAGACATTTCTAGAACAACATCTGCCTCCGCGCAAACTCTGACCTGGCGTTAACAGCCTCATCTTTTCGCTGCCAGCACCCAACAGCTGCTGTCGGCGCTGTGCAGGCGTCCCTTAGCCACTGGATGTTTTACACAGCGAAACAAAGCGAATAAATCCCCGGTGTTACCACCCGAAGCGTTCCTCCTTCGCTTCTTCTCAGCAGACACACAGCAGAGGCACAACAGCGTGTCCTCGGTGACAATATTTAACAAGCCAAGGATGTGGCACAAGTTTTGCTTGCCTTCCCGCAGGTATTTGTGGGGCAGCTGGCAAAACTGCAGTGAATTTGAGAGGGAAAAGTCAATTTGAGATTGTTACTCCAAGTTCAACACCGTTTACTGCTTGAAACTGTTCTCGGTGAGGCATGTGCCTCTGAGGCATCTGGGTTATTATTCTAGACTAATTTTTTTTTACTGCACCACGCTGCAACGATCAGAACACGTAATTCATACCTAGAACACAAGCAGTTAAAATAAGGAAGCCATAAATTATTTCTGCCACTTTAGTATCACATAGAACAAACCAAGAATAAGCTCTGGGTAATAATAATAATTAAAAAAAAAAAAAGGCAGAACATCAGGCGGGTTTGGGGGGTTTATTTTTTTTTTTTAAATTACTTTAACAAGAGGTCTTAAACAATTTCAAAAACTTACAAAAAATATTCAAGTGTGGAAAGTTACTTTACTGATAAAACAGCATTTCTTTATAATGTGCTTTTCTCCAGTCAGGATAAGGAAGCGTACGCGTATGGAAACCATCACTCACACCGTCAGAACAAATCACTTCAACAAACAGCCCAAGTATGTAAAAAAGTTTAACAGTAGGATGACAAAAGAACAAAGTAACATAAAAACAGGGACTGATAAGGACAATACAGGGAAAATACACTGCGGAGAAGATCTAACAAGTGTTTGGTGGCCACAGCTCAGAAGGTGGAAGTGCTTTCAGGTGGCTTTGTTTCACCAACCAGTTGTATGAGTAACTTAGGATCAAAAAAGAGTAGTAGTAACTCCTACTTACAGCTCAGAGCATAAACGTGTTCACTTTATAGACGCCCGTTGCAGATTTTGAGTGTTACAGCGCAGTCAGCAACAGGAATGCTAAAGCAGCCAGCTGATACTAGACTGAATGGAATAAAAACCATTTGTCTGTTCTTTTCTGCTAATTTCAACGCAGAATTTTCAACACTGCGCTGCAGCGTCGCTAACTTCTCTGGCTGGCCCAGGAGAAATTTTGTTTGTTTGTTTGTTCCATTAATTGCTCAGTCGTAAAAAACGCTGATTTAATTCAACAGCTACGTTGTTATCACTTAGCACAGAAATAGGTTGTGAAGCATCATTTTCAGTTACAAAGCGCGACAGCTCCTCACAGCAGCACTGAATCGCCCGAAGCGACCCTCATCGAAGAGGACAGAAACAGGCGGTTACATTACAGACGTCTCTCCCTTGTCTGGAGCAATTATGTTCTAATAAATGTCTCTCAAAATCCCACTGTTTGCACACCGAGTCCAATTCCAGCTACATATATCACTAAGTAAGAGTTTCAACCGGGTTTGTCCAGCTACACCAGTCAGTGACCCTCCTAACTGTTCCAAGCAGTGATTTTTTTTTGTCAGTTGGTTATTTTTTTAGTATTAATTGCAGAAGTCAGATTTAAAAGCATGAAAACAACTGAGAAGAGTGACATTTGGCTGACCATTGCCTCGTATAGCCTGTATCTCTCAATCTGTATGCAAAAAGCTTAAAAACTACTACACAAATTTAATAAAAACAAATGAAAATATCCAATAAGTATTTATTCCCAGGAGAAGCTTATCAGATGTAAGTGTTCGTGTTCTGGTGACTGCCTTCAAAGTTCAACGAGCGTTCAAATTCAAAACCTGCTTTGTGTATGTGAAGCAGATCTGGAACACTATTTGTATAGTCAACGGCAAATAAAATAAAAAAACCCCACCAAAACAAAACAGAAAAGCACACCAGTGTCACAGTTCAACAGTGCTGGATCAGTAACAGACAAATTGAGTTTTCTTTTCTGTAGAAGAGATACAAATCTACGAACCTTACGCAGTCTGTGAAGAACAGCGGTAATTAAATAGTGATCCCTTCTTCTCTACATACAGAAAGAACAACGTATTTACAGTATTTACAGTTTTCAAAAACTCACACTGTTCTGCAAGAATTTATATTCGTCAGGCCGAGAAAACAGTTACACATTAGTCCAGAACATAAACAGCTTCTGAAGGGACAGGTTACTAATTCAACCTAGAGCACCTAAAAAGGAAATAAACCCCCCCATTTGGCCGAAATCTCTCCTTACTTGTGGGATTACACCGCAAGACACAGATGTGTGAAGATGTTTCACACCAGCCAGATACTGCTCATTTTCACAGTTTTCCCCATTTTAAGTCACGAACCCAACTGAGCTGCAGTCGGAACCGCTTTTGGATTTGGGTTGCTGCTGTCATGGCAAAAATGCCTTAAGATCAGAGTTTCAAGTTCCCCTCACGCTTTTTCGGTTATGAGCAAGTGTAATCCCACGTATATAGCTAAATTATTTTTTTTTAAACTCGGTTTCAAATAGAAACGTTTGAAACAAGGTCAGATTTACTTGAGTTCCCAAGTTAAGACAGACACTCTTAACCCAGAGTCTTGAAACCATAAATTTAAAGCAAGATGCTCAAGTTTCCCCCCCCGTCCCAAATCAATAATTAAAAATAATATTTAAAAAATAATATGAAAGCTACAGTAAAAATCTGCATGAGAGGAAGATGATATTTGGGTCCAGAGCCGTTCTTCGAAGTTGAAAATAAACCGACGCACTTGTTCCGAATAACAGTATGGAAGAGAAAAAGCAAAGGCTTCACAGTAATAGACACGATACACTTCCAGCGCCGCTTTTTTTTATGACATTTCCCGAAAAGACCGCAGGGATCCAAAATTTGCAGACCGGATATGGGAAAACCAGTTCAAACTTCAGAGCAACGGAATGAACAGGTAAAGCAAAGAGAAACGACGTCACCGACCTGGAAGGCTTCAAAAGGAAAAGGATCAGTTTGAAGTCTTCCACGTGCAGGTGACAAAGAGTCGTCGGCAGGGGAGCTCTGAATCATCCAGCGTGCCCTACGTACAGATCGACAGAAACAAACCACAACCAAAGCCTGAGAAGCTCAAGCCAAAAGGAGATTATTTACTCCTTGCATTTGAGAATGCAACATTAGCTTTCCAATTTGAGAGTTTGCAGGCTCAGGAGCTGTATTTGCTACTTTGGCAAACAGGAGAAATCGCTGTCGATCCTCCCCAGGCTCTTACAACGAAGAGCAGGCAGCTTTGAGAATTCTATCTACACGCCACAAGCATCTTCTTCTAAAGAGGGAAGACGCTACCGTAAAATCAGATCTTTCAAGTTGAAAGAGAAACCAAAAATATCACACGTTTGGTCAGAATTGTACATGAAGAGGATTTTGTGTTCAACTAAGAGTCTCTTGGTATTACCTACAGGAAGTGAGGAAGCAGCAGCCTCGCTGCACATAAGGCATTTTGGGAATGATTCCGACACAGCTCCCCGCCTTCGGCATTTTATTAGGTTCAACTAACACGAGCAACCTCTCACATTTGAAGATTCTTTTACTACTAAACCAACGGTCGCCGGGTCTTAATCCCGAAACATCCGCAGACCTTCCACGATGACGGCACGAAGAGCGAGCGTATCTTTTTTTCCCGCCCGGCACGTGCGGAGAACGGCTGGTCCGTGCAGCTTCAACGCGCCGAGCGAGAGAGGTCGCGGCCCGCAGCCCAGCCTCGCTAACTGGCCCAGTCCTGAAAGCGGAAACAGTCACTGGCGATCTTCCACACCGTGTTGGTCGGTGTGGCCTGGGCCGTCAGCAAGAAGTTCTGATTGAAGTAGCGCTGCTTGTCGCCATCAAATTTTACTGTCCCACTTGTCACCACGAGGACTGTTGTCTGGCCCTGCGTAGCTTGCTCTTCACAAGGAGAAGTATAAAGAAAACGACTCAAACAAAGACTAACAGGTAGAGAAGCAGGAAACGGGCATAGAAGTTGCACTCGACTCTGGTTATACTAGTTAGAGGCTGACCATCGGTGACACAGCCGTGAGAAGGACAGTTTTGTCGCATCGCTTCGATACAGACAAGGGTGTGTATGCGCTCACCAACACCGCTTTTTAATTTTTCTAGGGTTTTTTTTTTCTATTTTCATCTCACGATTCATTTTAGAACACTATAACAAACACCGGAGTTTTGGCTTAGAATACGCTCTCGTTGCCCGAGATACACACATATATATATCTGGATATTTAGCAAGTTGCACACATTTTACCCCCCCGACTATTAGAGATTATGTATTTTTCACAAGAGAGAGAAGCAAGCATGCTTGACCACAGGCTTTTTCCTTGCTCATGCTCCCAAAACATCCGTTAGAAGAAATCTGTTCGCTTCTCATTTACGTGAGCCTTTCCTTAGCGGTTGTCAATCAGAAATCTACATCTACCCTAGACGTGAAGAACTCACAGGACATACAGGTTAATGATTTGTTCCCTGTTCTACTGTAGGCCAGGATCAGAGTAGAAGGTCTCTTGACTCTTAGACATCGTCAAGGACAACATAACCTGATCATGCAGACTTTTTCAATACATGAAAATACATCACATCTGAACACGGGCTTAACAGAAAAGACCTTCAAGTATTTTCCCCGATGTAAGGGAAAACGTGGAGTTGCTGCGTCTCTTGCTTTGTGCTTTATTTAGGCACAACTCGACGTTTCAACCCTCGGCATTTTCTCTAAGCTCGTTCCAAAAGAAATATTAAGCGGTACCGTAACTGCGGTTCGCTTTCCAAAGTTATTAAAAAAAAGATTGAAAAATAAATAAGTAAACTGTAATACAACCTTACCGTGAACGGGCTGGCAGTCCAACACATTAACCTGGAATTCACTAGACGGCAACATTTCAAAAAATTTATTCAGTTCTTCTTGCCCAGACACTGCGTTACCATTCCAAACTAAGGTGGCTTTGTCCAAATAAAGCCTCGTTAAAGCCTGCGTGAACATGAAAAAGGTATTTGGAGAAAACGTGTAAACATGTACAACATACAAAAGAACATTCTCTGAATCCTTGTCTTGTGAATTATCGATTTCTTCTGTTGCTTTGCTAGATAAAATGCCCTCCTGAAGCATTAATTCCTTTTAACAGTTAGTGCTCCTGAGCAAGAATTAAAATCCCTTGAAACAGCGACTCATACATCTCCAAATTTAAGTACCGATGAGATTCCTTTAACAAATCTTTTTCTTGAGTGGGGTGCACACACAACACAGTCAGTAAAGTGTAATTTCAAATTTAAAAAAACAAAACCAAACAGTGAACAAGACCAGGAGTAGCGGAAACTTTAAAAGGAGGCTCATCTACACAGCAGACCAGAATTTCTCAAATGCTTCACAAGCTCTAAGAGTTGAGCAACCGCCCAACTCTCCTTCAAGCCGTTGGTACATCCCAGCCTCACCTCCTCGTGCGCAAAGTGACCACGAAGAAACATGCAACTACTGATGTTTTCACATCATCTAGAAGTTATTAAAATTATAACACACTTAAAATTCCAAAGAACAGCCTCAACAGCTGTCTCTTGGTGCAAGTTTCTGTTATGTGACACCACATTGATGTGGTCTGCGGAGACTTTTAGAACCAGAGAGCGCTGTTTCCACTTTCTCCTCAGGCACTCCCTGAAGACTCTCAGAAACAGAAGTGATAACTGCTCATAAAAGAAGTTTGGGGGGGGAAAAAAAGCTAATTCTGATCTCAGAGACAAATAAAACAAGTTTTATCTGACCAAGTCCTGCACCTGCAAAACACAGCTGGACAGGAACTCAACTACTGTCATGGACAAGCCTAAGACACTTTCTAAAAGGGGTCGTTTTACCACAACGCTGCACAGTGACGTAACGAATCCTCTTTGGGCCAGCCTAGGAGGAACAAAAGCCTCAACCCAGCCAATAGAATACACAGTGATCAACTTTCACTGGCAATGCTCGTTAGAAAAAGCAAGCAAAAAACCCACATGAGGCAGTTCTAACTATCGCCAAAATATCGACATACCCTCCTCCTTTTATCCATCGTCTCATAATAAATGTTGACAAATTCATCTGCAGCTCTACAAGCTTGATCGACGTACGTTTTGAAATCCTGGAGAGAAGCAAACACAACAAATTACTTGAGGGAGGCAATTTTATGCAACCAAGTCATCTACGTGATTTCTCCAGTGAGTCGCTTTGGCTGGTCTTTCATCCTCATCGAAAGATAACGTCAAAGAATGTCAAGATTGATTCCCAACTCCTTTCCCACTTGTAGGAGGTATCAGCTTTTAGCAAGGTGACAGGTTTACGATTCATTTTGAATGCTGATATATTTATCGTATTTAAATTGTAAATATTTACATTGAAAAACGGGCTACAGCTGGCTGCAAGTAGTGTGAACGGGCAAGTATTCAGCGAAAACATCTGCTGCTGTGAGGACTCTTCTGAAATAAAGTTAAGGAACAAGATCTATTCAACGTACTTCTGAAAATGAGCAGGAAGTCCCACACTGCCACGGCGGGCTCATTTTTTAAAACACCTTACGTATATAAAACGTACTAACGCATAATTGGATATATAGATATAAAAATAAGAGGAAATGGAGACCACATGCACACGCTGCATGTATTCCAGTACCACTCCAGCGCTCTGCCCACAGGGACAAGTCAAACACTTCTCCTCAGGTCTGACTATTTTCCTTACATCTCTCTATTTTTATTCATCCAGAGGTGACAGCCCTTGTTGTCACCTCCCTGCACTGTGTTCTCACACCCTCACTTTACTACACACTCTTTTGATCTCCCTGTGTAAGGACACGAGCCTGCTCTTCACCTTCCCGTCAATTCCAAACAAATACACCAAACAAATTCCAAATTCCAAACAAATACACCAGAGACTCTGTACTCTGGCAAACGCCACGAGAAACTCTTTGGCACCGGGGCACAATGTACCCCAGACCTCTAGGGGAACAGTGACTATAACTCAGCCTGTTAGTCAGAGTAGGGGCTGCTACCCCTCAGGGCACACGCACACTTTCTAACCAGCAACCAAATATATTGTATTTCGCTGCCAAACAGAACGGGCGTGAAGGAGAACATTAGAGAAACGCCAAGAGACTGGAATTAAGCTGTAAAGTCAAATGGAAAATAAGCTTTGTTAGTCTACACACTCCAGACAACCTCTTTGTAACCACAGCCCGGAATATATTTTTTAATTCTGAGAACAATTTAGGTTGGAAGAAGCTTCCTGAGCTCATCTCGTCTAAATCCCTGCTCAAAGCAGGGCCAGCTTCAAAACGTGTTCTAACTTGAGAGTCTTATCTCCAATCTGAACATCTCTGAGGATGGAGATTTCGCAAGTTTTGGGGCTCCTGTTCCAGCGCCTCATCATCTCACTCGGGAATCTTTCCTCCGAGTATTTAACAGCAAAGTTATACTGAAAAAACACCCCTTGAGGACTCGGGACGACTCCAAGAAGTCGACTGACGCACAGGGCCCCTGCAGATGGTCTCTGCCAACCGCGGTGACTCCTCTACGAACCGCCACCGGGCCTCGGGCCTCCGGGGCCGCTGGAAGGGGAGCTGGCACGGCCGGGG